TCTGTGCAAACATTTCACGAAGTGGGGTCCATACAGTTGCAACACGCCAGTTGGTTGGTGTGCACCGAGTATTGGAGCTCTGCAAAGGCAGAAATTCCAGGGCCCCAGAGTTGGTTAGGCCCTGGGCACATAAACGTTAGGCCGACAATGCATGCTGGATATAGAGGCCGAAAATGCCAATGGGAAACCGGTCCACTATCTGAATCTGGCCGCAGGCCTTGATGAAAGAGGCGCAACTGCATCTCCTCGGCCCCAACTGCATCGGGCCTGGGTACAGGTATTGGGGCCCAGGCACAGGCTCAAGGGAGGCCGCCCACACGCAACACTGGCATATAGGCAGGGAGGGCGAGTGGGTAGGGATCTTGGCCGTTGCGAGCAATGCCGGCACGCTGCACGTTTGCTTGGCCACTGCGAGCAATGCCGGCACGCTGCGCGTTTGCGAGGTGCTGCGCTGCGCTAGGCTGAGGTAGGCAGGCAAGCGCTAAGCGGTAGAGCGCTGCCTGGGCGCAGGGCGCTGGCGGCCATAGCCGGGCTGTCTGTGGGCGCAAAGGAGGCGAAGGGCGAAGGTGGTTCTTCGGAGGTGAAGGGCGCTGTGTGGGATAACAAGGGAGAGTGAGGGAGAAGAGAGAGACGTACCTGGTGGAGAGAGGAGGTCGGCATTGGTGTTGACATCATCACTCGYTGGTCGTCAAGTTGTCTGGTTGCTTCCATGCTGTAGTTGTAGTGTTAGGCTGTAGAGTAGGTAGGGCGCCAGGCGCCATTCAAGAGAGAGAGCTACATTGGGTTATGCTGTTGGTGTTGCCCGATTGGGCTTGGACATTGACTCACGATTCTTCTGGATGGTTACTCGGTTCCAATGTGCTATCTGCTCTTGGTTTGACTACTTGGACTTCAGTGTGATTTTGCAATCTGGATTTATGTGCTTCGTCCACATTCATGTTCCTTGCACCTAACTCTAAATTGTCTATACCATGTTGTGTTTCCTATATTTGTTTCCAACTCTGCGGCGAGCCTCCAGAGGCTCGCTAGAGGCCTTCGTCGGCTCTCGCAAGAGCCGAGCGTCTTGGGATAAGGTAAGGTATTGTTTTAGACATCTTCTGAACAATGTCGTAGTTCAAACTACTTCCTCCACAAAGAAGTCAAAATCGGTGCACTCAACAACCATTTGCTCTAACCACTGAGCTACTGGAGACCTTTCTATTGTCGTCTTTTTTTTATAGTCTTTTGAAAATCTATCATATTTTGTTGAAAAACATCTTGTCTTTTTACTTGAGTAGTCTTATGCATGGTAAGTACTACAGCTCCAATGATGGCCACTCATAAAATAAGACTTGAAAATGGAAACAAATAAAAATAAGTGGTATAAAGCGATGTTACCTTTTGTTTGATGGCAGGACGTCCTGGCCGAACATCCTAGGCGGACAGTCAAGGGGGTCCCGGAAGTCCGGGCCCGGACAACTCCATTTTTAGCAATTAAAAGCATTAAAAAAATGGAAGAAAATTGGGGGTGTTTTTAATTTTAGTTTTTGTTTTAAATTTGACACCGAATTTCGATATCATCCCAAGGCAAAAGTTGTTCAGTTCAGGTTTCTGCATAACATAGTTTTTTTTTCAGAATTTTGTGAGATTTTTTTTTTTTTTTTTTTTTTTTTTTTTGCTTTCGGGCTCAGACAGACTGCTCGGGGAGGATGTTTGACCGGTTGTCGGAGCGGACAACCCTAGACGGTCAGGGGGGTCCCGGACGTCCGATCAGGTAACCTAGGTATAAAGTTGATTTCCTAAAGTTTCTAGATTCATCCAACTTTGTATTTTGGAAGCATAAACAGTATTGCAAGGAAGATGAGTAATAGTGAACTTCAGCAATCAAACAACATCATATACACAAGACCAGATAGTTGTGACCTCAAACCAACGACAAAATTGCATCACGAGTTTCACCAAATAAGAAGACACCAAGAGCTCATAATTGACAATGCTGGTAAAGTCTCATCATCATCATCAATGAAGAACCAATGTTGATATCCTATCTGGCGCTCGGCGCCCAGACTACAGACTACAATGCCGAATGATGACGACAACAACTTTCCCGAAGTACGAGCGACCAATGTCGCACGCTTCCAGCACCAGGTATGTCTCTCACCTCACTCACAACCTCGTTGCCCAACACAGAGATGGCACTTGCACCCAAGGACCACCCTGTGCCACACCCAGCTGACAGCAGCGCAACTCGGCTATGGCTGCCTGCGCCTTCCTGCTCGTCCGTGAGCAAGTGAGTGCCAACGAGCTTCAGCGCAGCAGCGCTTGCGCAGCATGCAGCCAGCACCCGAATGAGAAATGTGGAGGCATGCCCTTTGTTATATCGAAGTGGCCTGCCTGCGTTCAGTCCTAGGAAGCTTCCAGTAGGCCCCGGTAGCCTGAGGCCCAGCACAATAGAGAACAGGCCTTGGGCCTTAGGTGGTTGCATGCACCCAACTGCCTTTGACCTATGTTTGGACCAGTACCCGTATCTAGCCCAGGGCCTGCTTTCCATACATTCACACAGGCGGCCCAGGGCCTGGGTTCTCTCAACCAACTGGCGCTGCGCAATTGCCTGAATTTCCTTAGTTGCGCAGTGGTCAAAATAGGACCCCGAGGTCCTCGTCGAGCCTGCCTTCACTTAGGGCGGCCGACTTGCTCCAAAAAGGGGCCGAATGGGGCTCATAGAGCCAGTGGCCTCGCATCCCCTCCTCCTTAGCTTCAACAGTCCTCTGCGAAGCTCAGTCTTCAACCATCGGGCGCTCTCCTTTCTGCAGAGATTTCTCGTAATGGGCTACAACTTGAGGAGCGGTCTGCATAAGTTCCTCCTTGGTGAACCAGCGGTCCTCCTTAGGATCAGTATGATGTCGGAACCGAATGCGGTACTGCAGCTTCGGTTTTGGAGAACGTCCCCTGCCTGTTGGTCTTGGAACCGGCAGCTCTGTGTGGTCCACGATATCATCGATATCCACCTCTCCATCCATGGTTGGGGGCAGCATTGAGCGACGAGATGGAAACTGATCTGTTTCTTTGAAAGGTGCAAGCTTGGAGGCGTGAAAGACAGGGTAAGTACGGAGATGACCAGGGATCCGGATTACATAAGATGGCCCATCTGGATCAGTCCCGACAATATCTAAGACTTCCCATGGCCCAAAGTACTGTGGCATGAGTTTGCGGGAAATCCTGTACTCCTGTCCCAGTTCTGAGGACTTTACCCAGACTCTGTCCCCAACCTGAAACGTAGAAGGTCGGCGGTGTCTATTCTCAGACGCTATCATTGCTGCCTTAGCCTTCTGCATCTGTTTCTGTTCATACCTTTAGGCAAATTCTAAAGTATCTGGTGCAGCAGTTGACTGATTCTCAGGAAGGAGAAAGTCTAAGGGTAGTCTAGGCTTGAAAGTCAATAGCAAACTGTTTGGGCTCACCCTGGTGGCGCTGTGTACAACGTTGTTGTACAGACTGGCGATGAGAGCAAGCTTCTCATCCCAGTCCACCTGGTTGGGCTTGATGTAATGCCTCAACAGGTGTTGTACCGCGCGATTCAGTTGCTCGACCTGACCGTTGGCTTCTGGGTGATTTCCAGAAGTCATCTGCAACTGGGTTCCCTGCTCTGCAGCAGCAGCCTTCCACAGTTCGCTAGTGAAGAAGACATCTATGTCGCTCACTATGGATTTGGGCAATCCAAAATCCCTTACCCAGTTCTCTTTAAACAATTTGATTACGTACTCGGTCTTCGCAGTCTCCGGCATGGCTGTTAACCACAATGACGAAAATGTGTTTCATCCCACTCTTACTGGTAACCAGTGTATCCATGAAGTCCATGGACAAAACTCTCACCAGGCCTTTCCGGAATCGGAAGGGGCTTCAGGAGCCCAAGAGGAGCCCGAGTACGTGGCTTGTCTCTCTGACAGACCTGACAAGTCTCCATATACAGTTGGGCATCTCTCATCATTGTGGGCCACTAGAACCGCTGCAGCAGGTTAGCTGCGATCTTCTTGTACCCAAAATGTCCTGTGGCATCATGACATTCGCCTAAAAATAAACTACGCAAAGACTCTCTATTAGGCACACACAAACGTTTATTCCTTGCCTTCTCAAGGAACAGCAGGCCGTTGACCAACTCAAACTCGGCAGAAGTCCCTTTGTCCTTCGCCTCGAGTTTGCGTATGATCTCGGCCATAAACGAGTCCTCGCGATAGGCTTCCACCAAAGACAAAGTAACATTATCCGCAAGATTGAACTCAGTAATCAACCCACCTGAGAAATCAGGTCTACGCGACAAGGCGTCAACAACCTTGTTGTACTCGCCCTTGATGTACTGGGGCTCAAAGTCATACTGCTTGATGACTTCGATCCAACGCTTGAGAGCCTCAGAGAGTACTGGCTGAGTTCTCATCCATCTCAGGGTCTGATGATCAGTCCTGAGGATGAAGAACCTCCCAAGGAGGTAGTGCCTCCAATGGGTCAGAGCCTTGTAAACCGCATAGAGTTTCTTCTCATAGGTGGACTTAGCCAACTTCGGCATTTTCTTGGACATGTACTCAACTGGCCTCAACTTTTCCCCCTCCTGTTGTGCAAGTACGACGCCTATACCATATTGGCTAGCATCCGTAGTCACTATAAATGGCTTATCAGGATCAGCAAGTTTCAAGACTTCGTAATGCGTCAACGCATGCTTCAGATGTCTGAAAGCAGCCTCGCATCTCTCAGTCCACTCCCATGGGGTGTCAAGGTGGGTCAGATCAGTCAAAGGAGCGGCAACTATGCTATAGTTCTTCACGAAGTTGCGATAGTAGCCGGTCATCCCTTAAGAAAGATCTCATCTCAGTCACAGACTGAGGGCGCGGCCAATCACGAATGCTGGCCACCTTCGCGTCATCGGGCTTCAACACTTCTGCGGAAATCTCATGACCTAAGCACAAGACACGGGTGCGGCCAAACTCACACTTCTCACCGTTGATCTTGAACTTGTGTTGTCGCAGGAGACTGAGGACTTTGTCCCAGTGCGCAATGTGCTCCTCGACAGTCTTACTAAAAATAAGTATCTCATCGAGGTACACGATGACAAACTTATCCAAGTAGTCATGAAAAATCCGATTCATAGCGTGCTGAAAGGTGTCAGGAGCATTGCAAAGACCGAAAGGCATCACCACAAACTCGTACAGACCGTACCTGGTCTGAAAAGCGGTTTTGTGTTGATCCTCGGGCTGGATTGCAATCTGATGGTACCCGGACTTCAGATCTATGTTACTGAAGTACCGACACCCTTGCACTCTATCTATCAAATCGTCGATGCGCGGTAGGGGCTCTCTGTTCTCGACATTGATGGCATTGAGGCCCCTATAGTCAATGCACATCCAAAGTGTTCCCTCCTTCTTCTTAGGTACAAATAGTACTGGAGAACCATAAGGAGAAACACTCGGCCGGATCCAACCCTTCTCTACGAGTTCCTTGAGTTGCCGGCGAAGCTCATCGAGCTCGCCTGGAGACATCCGATAGATCCTACCCTTCGGGATGCTAGACCCTGGGATAGTCTCTATCGCGTTGTCGGCCTGTACTGTCTCGATCCCTACTAGTTGCTGTTGGACCGACAGCTGGTAGCCCCGAGACCCCCTTACTTTCAGCTGCGCCTCCCGCAATGTCCACTGCCTGTCTCCCTTCCTATTTGGGCGACTTCTCGTTGGTTCCAAAGGAGCGTGCTTTCGAACGGTGCCTACTGAAAACAACTTCTTCAGATAGACCCGAAGAGAATGAATGATCTGAGATTCCAAATGAAGGAGACCCAAACCGAAAACAGCTTTTGCAAATGGACCCGGAGAAAATAACTGTACTGAGGTTTACAAAAGAAGGAAACCCAAATAGCTTTTTCAAATGAACCCGGCGAAAATAACTGAACTGAGCTGAGTTTTTTTGCTGCGTGCGTTTCGCTCAAATCGCTTGGGCTTGATCCAGGCACAGAAAGAAGGGAAAGAGAGAGAGAGAGAGAGAAGAGAGAGAGAGATCCGCTCTGTGCCCGCCGATCACTTCGTAACCAGCTGTTTGCTTATCCTCTTTCGGCCAAAAGCCCTGCGCTACTTTGTCGTTCGTGCCCCGTGCTACTCGGTTCGGTCTACCAAGGTGACGCTCGGCTTCCGCTCGTGAGATTTGCCCCTTTTTTTTTCTCCGTTTCACGCTGCTTCAGAATAGGGAGAGAGAGAGAGAGAGAGTCGAGGGAGAGAGAGTCTCTCTCTCTCTACTCAAGCTCGGCTGTTTTTCCCTCGCAAGTGCTATTCGATCTCTGTTTTTCAACTCGCAATTACACTTCAGGACATTACTTGTTTAGACTTCTCGGTTCAGTGCGGCATCTGAGCTTTGCAACGACTGCTCGAGTCCAGATCGAGACCCTGGTTGTTCTTTTTAATCCTTTTGCAAATCGCAATTCGGTTACTTCCTTCGCGTCCGTTTGGAAAAGTTGTCTGGGTCTACTTCTTAAGGAAAGAGCTCTCCCCTGGCAGCCTCATTCAGGCACTCGCATGCTAGCGGCAGCGCTGCTGGAGCAAGAGCTCACGGCTGCTGGCTGGCGCTGACAGGCGAGGTGCAGCACGTGCGGTCGTGCAGGGAAGAAGGGCGCTGCTGAGGGCAGCGCCATAGCCCAGCCACCATAGCTGGTGGGCTTGGTCTACAGTGAGGCGCAGGGGTGGTCTTCTGGTGCAAGAGAGGACAGGTGTGGGTGTGAAGTCAGGGAAGGGCGAARGATGATGATGATGATGATGTGAGGGCACTTACCTTGTATTGGCGATGGTCAGCATATGGGCGACATCTTCAAGTACTTCGAGTTGCCGCGGATGCCAACAGTTGCATTGTCTATTATTAGGCTGATCGTAGCTGTGTAGGAGTAGGCTGGGCGCTGAGCGCCAAGTAGGAGTGTGAAGGGACTGGACTCTTGTGTTGCTGAAGGAGAGAGGAAGCTCTCCATGACATTGGTTTTCAGTACTATGAACCTCCATTGGTGTATTATTGGTGCAATGCTGCTCTCTGGACACAGTGTGACTATCTGGCTTTTTATGTGATGGTGTAATCTGGATTTTGTCATCTCGCTGTTTTCTTATTTTCCTTGCAGGTCCGTGTTCGGCCCGAACGGTCGAACGCATCCCCAAGGGGTCCCATACGTTCGGGCGTTCGGGTTCAGGCGTTCGGCCCGTCCCGAACGCCGGGTACCCTGTATATATATATTCCGGATTTCCAAGAACGAAATATCGAATTTTCAGAAGAAAAACGAAAACGGAAATTTCAGGTGCTGGGCTATTGCGATTTTCCACAACAGAAATAGCGGGAAAACAAAATCCAAGATACAAAAAGAAATTTGATTTTCGGCAGTGAGGTCAAAATCGTGATTTTGGGGGCTAACTAGTGTGCTCTGATCAATCAATCAAGACTAATCAGCTACTTAGTCCCCGCACACGTGTCAGATCATGTTGTCCTGATTCACGTGCGGTGTTCCGATACCAACTGTTACATGCCCAGTTGGGTGATGTACGTATATAACCAAGGATCCACAATGTGATAAAAAGGACTGAATGGACAGTGCAGTGCTAGTGAAATCTCAACAAGCAGTGTACATCCTGATACATACAATAATGGTGCTTTGTAGCGCAGTGGAAGACTTAGATATAAGCCCTGACCTGACCGGGACTGACCTCTCCCACGTAGTGCAAGACAGCGCAGCAGAATGCTAGGATACCAATGACTAGCCCGATCAATGTTGCAGTACAGACCAAACACACATCATTCTCATCACAAGGTGTGAAGGGGCCTGGCGCTACACACAGGAAGAACGCGCCAGGTCCAGGTCATACACAGACGAAGAGGAGGGGATCAGACGAAGAAGGAGGGGGGAAAGATTGGAATGTCGTCAACACCAAGTCTTCGTTACAAGTCCCAGATAACCCCTCGTCAAATGTCTGAAGTCCAATGTCGAGTCTGGATCCAAATGTCACCAAGCCCGCTCTCTCATAGTCTGCTGATGCAGTGAAGTCAGATAGTGAAAGGGTGAGAGGGAGATGGTGGACTGAGAAGAGGAAGAAGAAGAACTCTCTCTCTCTCTCATGTGTCAGGTACTAACCTGTGTAAGTGCCGCTGTGCTGCAGGTACCTCGAAGACGAAGCTGGAGCTATGGCGCTGCAGGTAAGTCTCCCTGGCCTCAGCCCAATCTCTCTCTCTCTCTCCAGTACTACTCTAGCGCCTACTAGCGCCCAGCGCCGAAGGCTACTGCTAACGCTACTAGCTCCCATCGCTGAAGACTAGCGCTAGCGTTATTACTACTCCTGCAGCGCTCCTCCAGAGTGCTGCTGCCGAATCCTGAAGACTACCTCCTGCCTCCTGAACTGCACATGAAGTGCCTGGGAAGTACCTAGGAACTACCTGCAGCCTGCAGGGCGGGCCAGTCCTATATGGTGCTGGCCCGTCCAGGAGGCTGCTCTTGCCAATGCCAAAACGTGCCAGACCCTGGCGTTGAAGCTCAACCAAGCGTTGTCTTGAAAACAGGCCCAGAATGGCCTGTGCTAAAACCCTGTTGTGGTGCCTGAGTTTCAGGGCAGGTCGATCTGATGAGGTCCTGAAAATGGCCCTCTGTTTCAGGCTGAAAAGACTCAGGGCCGGAAAGGCCCTGTTTTAGGCTGAAACGACAGCCACAGCGCGAAAAAAAAAAATTAAAAAAAATGTTGTGTAGAATAATAGAATTGCTATACAAACGACTTTTGGCTGAGGGTCACATTAGAATTCCTCACGGAATCGGCGATAAAAAAGAAAATAACAGAACCGCACTAAGGCACCCCCCCTTAAACCCCTTTAGCACCTTTAAATTTTTAAAACCAATTTATACCCCCCTCCCCCCCTGCTTGATAGCCAACTCGCAAAAAAAGAAATGAGCCCGGATTGGGGGTCCTCTGGGATAGCAGAAAAAAGAAAAAATGAAAAACAGAAAAAAAAAAGTTCTTTTTTCTTTCTTTTTTTTGCACGCCCGGGTGTCGCGCCTGGGTGCCCGGCTGGCCAGGACTGGCTGGGCATGAAAATCTTCCTAGCTGGTAGGCTGATTGTTTGGATCAATTCGCCTTTGGCATTTTTGGAATTGATGCCCCCGACTTCCCTGGGAACCCTGGAAACCTACACAGTGCGTAACTGTTGAACTACCCTAGCCTCAGCCTATTTTACCAAGCACTGTCTGGATTTTCAAGACTTTAAATCACCAGTACATTGCTCAGGCAAACTTGAGAATCGAAATCAAGCCAATTCGAAACTTTCGGTGGGTCGCGCCTGCCGGACCGAAATGGCCGGCAGCGCCAGCCAAAACCTAAGAAAAAGCACTGCGCTATTGGTTGGGCAAAGGATGGTGCGCAGGGGGAATCCGCCTTGGCAAAATGAGGCTGATGGTTTAAGAAAAAGGAAAAAAAAAATCCGCTGCCCATAATGCCACGGTCCACTGACAAGTGGCATCCATGTGCGCATATCTGTGTCAGAGCATGTGTATGTCCCCCTGCCATTTTTCCGTGGCACTAACCTCTTCCCCAGAGCATTGTATGTGTCCCCCGGAAACTCGCCTTCACTGCATCCCTCATGCTTTCTGACATTTGGTTCTGCAAAACCGCCGAGTTGGCGCACATGCATGATGCATTTGCATGTTGGGAACACTGGTTTTGTTTATGAAGGGACGAGGGGCGCTTTGGATTGGGAATAGCACACCTCCTGTTTCCTTTGCCCCCTCCCTTCTGCACCACGAGGGGCGCACATGCATGAGCATTTACTCGCTGTGTCTGGAAGCTCGGCCAGATGTGTCTTTGATACCTTCTTGGCATGTGTTATGATCCTGGCCAATTTCGAAGTACACATTCATGAGAAAGTACAATGCCGTCCAATTGCAAAAAGAAACGAATGAACTTGAGAGGAGAGAGAGGGAAAGAAGAAAAAGAAGAAGAAGATGAAAGAAAGAAGAAGAAGAAGATGTACACCAGCAAAGACCAATGAGAAATCCCTCCTTCACCAACCACTCTCTGCCCCCTTATCTCCTCCCCTCTTATTCAAACAAGAAATAATAATAATAATGTTGAATGGCTGAGCCAGAAGCAATGTCCGAATCCCTCTTCTACTGCAGGTATCACATGAGGTCCACCATAGCCATGGCCACCCTTTCCTCCTCCTTCCTCCAAGGCCGAGGCTATGGTGGACTACCAGGGCATTGCTCTGCTGTGCAAAGGACAACACAAAGCAGCTATGGCTTCTCTAGCTCAGGCCGCCATGCCTGACTTTGCCTCGAAGCTTCTTGGTGTAGCTCTACCCCAACTGGGGCCTTCCAGATCCAGTGCCCACCAATGATGAAGATGACATCCACCATAGCCAGGTAAGTACCTCTGGCGTTCTCCCTATTCCTAGTCCTTGGCTTCCTCCTCCTCCAGTCCGTGCTCCTCCACCATAGCCACGGTGGAGAGCTGGGCGCTCTGTCCTCCCCAGTAGCGCTGCTCCAAGCAGCGTTGCTCCAGCCAGCGCTCCAAGCACTGTGTCGCCAAACTTGCACACTGAAGAATGAGGAGGAGCACTTCACTCCTCCTGGAGATATAGCGGCCTGCTTGCCTCTTGGCGAGTGACTTCCTAGGTCACGCGGCCTCCAAGCAACCGGTACCTCCTCCCATCGGAGGGAAACATCATTGCAGACTCTGATACTGCCCGTACAGGCCCTGGACTCAGACTGGTTGGACTGGTACCTGCCTAGAACTACTGGGCCTCTAAAAATGCCAACTTTGTCTTCTTCTGCTCGGCCTCGAGTACCCGGCACATCTACCTCTACCTGGTGTGGTACCGGCCTACCTGCTACTTTTGAGTGTTTTTCCGCTGCTTCAAGTGTTGTGGGCCTCCTTCCCCGCTGCAACCCTCAATGCCACGGTCACAGGTAAGTACCGGCCCTTTGGGCCTTCCACATGGACAAGTACCCTTGCGGGTCACACACTCAAACCGACAGCACTCAGACAGGCATGCAGAGCAGCAAGCATCCCCACACTCACATTCCATTGGCAAAACTCAGAAATCAGCTGTGTCTCAGTCCGTGTTTTGCTGGTCCTAACGCATGTGATTTTCCAGAAAGCTACCTTGTAGGAGTAAATCATATACAGTGCAGGTGTTGGTCGTCATGTCGCCTATGGGTGGCCAGCCGGTTTCCATGCTGACCCTGGGGTTTATCGCTTTTTCTGTAATCATTGTCAACAGATGGACTCTGCACGAGTGACGACATCAAATATCTGCATCACTGTGACAGTTGGGCTTGCAGCTAATTTTGAGGAGGTGAGAAATGTCCGAGTATATGTTGCACTTTTTGAGAATGCTTCTTCTCTGGCTCTCTTTCAGAATGATCCCTCGTCCCAAACGGAGAGCATTCTGCAGAAGGGCGCAAACCTTCCAAGTGATCGTATTGTTCGGCGACTGGGGAAGGCCTTTTCCCTCCCAGGCAACTCTGCTGGAAGCTTTGGGAAAGGCTGTGTGAAGTTTGGCACTTGGTCAGATTTTCAAAGAGAGTGCTGTGGAGTCGTCATTTTCCTGCAAGATCCATCAACAATGAAGATCTATGGCTGCCAGCAGTTTCCGTTGGAGACGCTGTAGTTTCTCCATGTACAATTATTCGTCAGTTTCATCAGCCATCCTCTTCTCAGCTCATGTACCTCTGGAACAGGTTCCTCTTTGGGTATGTGTTCTTCATGCAGCACTGGGTTTGCCTAGCCATGGGTGGCTGCTGGGATGTGTTCTTACTGCAGCATGCTCATCGCCGAACCATGAGTGGCTGCTGGCAGTTAGGGAACGGCGGAGTTCGACTTCCACGTGAGGGCTTCTGCAGGCCGTTAAGGATGGCAGGCCGAGCTCACCGGCCCTTTATGTCTTCATTTTTCCTGAAAGTGAACCCGATGATGCTGTCAAAATTAGCCTTCGAATCACTTCCAGAGTAAGCACGTAGTCTCTGGGGCCATGTTAGCATCGGAGATGAATAGCTCTTAGCCTTTCAGGTCGTCTTTAAATTGAAGAGCTGCTAGTGGTATGAGAGTTAGCGGCAGGGTCTCTTGTATTTCATATACATGGCATGGGGGTCAATGCTGGAGTACTGTCCTACTCCCTGCTAGGAGTCTGGAGGATGTTGACAACAGGGTGAGAGGTTGCCAGCTTTGGCCTCACCTCATGGACCTTTGGTCAGTGGCCCTCATAGAACCGATGCTTGACGGCGGCTCAGATTCTTCGTGCGAGTCACAGTTGATCGATGTTGGTTAGACCACCTGCTCTCTCTCTCTCTCTCTCTCTCTCTCTCTCTCTCTCTCTCTCTCTCTCTCTCTCTCTCTCTCGCACACTCCCCAGCTGATCTACCTCGGTTAGACCCCCCCCTCTCTCTCTCTCTCTCTCTCTCACGGGGGCATGGGACGGGGGCCTCTCTTAGACGCTTCAGCTGCCCTCATTTTTGTGCGTTCAAGCTC